CATCCAAGACCAGAGGTGAGCAGGGTCGACCACTAACGCAGAGGCTTCTGAGGCTTCTGGTCCGGACACAGTCTCTCCACCGTACCACTCACGCCATGCACAGGAAGACTATCTGGATTGGGACTAGGCTGTGAACCGTGAGCTACACCTCCAGTGCACTTCACAGAGGGCCAACCTCGTCTTCCCACCCACAAAGTACCTAACAGCTCATTTCAAGCGTTTACAGATCTGTAGGCAGGATATGTATTTTAGGGATCTTCAGTGACAATAAAAACTAGTTGCTCTCCTCCCCCCAGCTCCACCCTGGAAATGACAGTTCCTCCTTTCGTGTATTTGATTTACTTTGACTGAACTAGAGTTCTGGATGTTAGGGCGGTTTTTTAAGTATACGCATATGCACTCAGTCACCCAAAACAAGGCATGCAGTTTTCCCCAAACTCAATAAACAAGTTGCACATATTCACTTGGAAAGGAGATTTCTCCTTTTTGGAAAAGGAAGTCCCATGTCCAGACCCTTGCCATCCCTGTCAGTCACGCACTCATCTGACAAACTTTTATTTCATGCCTAACATATACAAAGACACTGTGCCAGGGACTACTAGAGTACAAACGGGCCTTGTTTTGTTAATTCTAAGACACAGATTTTCTTCACATCTTAACCTGAAGTATGTTTTTTTTTGTCAGTGGTGCAAAGCTCTCACAATTAACAGGCAAAATATGGTACGGGATACAAAGCCTGCTCTCAAGCAGCTTACAGATGTTGCAGTGACTGCTGGCAGCCAGTTTTCCTCATCTTCAGGAGGAAACCCAAGGTTTAGTTTGGAAAGACTGAGCCTACTTTTTGCAAGAGATCAGACCGCCCTTCATAGTAAAGCACTGTGTCTCCAAACAGCGGCACAGCCAACATATCTTGAAAGCAGCGTGAAGCAGAGTGAGAACAGATTCGTGAGGGCACTGGGGCTCAGCAAACACTTCTAGGAAATACTCCCAAATGCTAACTGGGACAACTGACTTTCTTTTCTTTTCTATTTGACTAATCTTAGTGTTGCAAAGCATAGTTTTTGTCTTTATGAGAACGGAAGGGGAAAAAAACATCCTTCCAGAAGGCAAGGAAATTTTCTTGGGGCAAAGAAATCTTTTTCTAAAGATATTGCCACCTGAACTCTTAAGTTCAAAAAACTGGAGAAGCCAGTATAAGAGGAAGCAAAAGTACCTCACCATGCAAATCTCTGCCAGAACAGCTTAAGGGTGCTTCCAGATACTGCAGAAGCAGCTAACCTCACAGCAGAGATAAATCAGACCCTCACATCCCTGGGATAAGCTAACCTGAAGGAACCTTCAAGTTAACCTCAGTGGCACTGAGCTGTTAGCAGCAAGACTGTTAGAGCAGCAGCTCGCAAATGCTACGTTGGCCTAAGAGGCAGGAGCAGCAGCTTGTCGTCCTATCATGGGAAAGGCGGGCAGAACACAGAAGCAAAGCGTGCAGCCTGACAAACACAGCAGGCAGGCTGGCCGCCAGGCTGCACACACAGGCTGCACCATCTAACTTCTGGCCTCCCACATCTGGTGCTTGATCCAGGCTGATCCAGCTGCATTCCTGAGCATCAGCACACAGGCTTTTCTGCTGATGTTTTTCCCTGTTGGGGAAAAAATATGTGCTCTGAACTGAGGGGGTACAGTGCAGGGGTGGAGAGAAGAATGGCCAAGCAGACCTGCCAGAGGGTTAAAAGCACACTGCCCGGGGAAAAGGGAATGGGCCAGGCATGGCCAGCTCCACGGAGGCTGCAGGAGCCCACGGGTGCACCGGCAGGAGGGCGCACGTGCGTGCTGACAGGAAGGAACGCAGCCCCGTTCCTGGGCCCACGGAGAGCCTCGCAGCAGCCTGGTGTTTCCCACTGGGATGGCAGGCCGCTTGATGCAAAGCTTGATCCCCGGAGTAGGGAGTCAAATGCTCTTTTTCTTCGCTGCTGGCTGTCAGCTTGTGTGGCTGAGGGCCTTTGTTTTCCAGCTGAATCCCATCAGCAGGGCTGACCGCCTCGCTCACTCGAAGGGAGCGAAGGGAGCTGAGCCGAGAAACAAGCTTCTCGGTGTGGCTGCTTCTCCAGGGTACAAAGAAGGGCAGAGCAGAGCAGAGCTCAGCCACCCCACCTGGGCGGGGGGAGGGAGGGAGAGAGAAAGAGAGATAGAGAGAGAGGGGAAATCCTGTGTATTGTTCCCTAAGGACATAACAAACAAAAAAACGCCAAAAGGTCTCTCCTAAGTCCAGATCAAAGAAGTCTGGCATGCAGCACCCCTGCACTGAGTCCATCGGAACCTCTGTGGGAAGCCCAGCGGCTGCGCGTGCTCTCTTAAGCGAGAACAGCATGGGCAGAGAAGCGTTCCAGCAGGGACACTCAGATTCTTTATTGATCAGATAGGAGGATTCGACAAGACGACCTCCAAGGTCAAGGAGGAACTCAAGAATTCTATGAACTAAGAAAGAAAATAACCTCAGAACTAAGGGAGCACAGCCCCAAAAACTAATGGCTCAGATTGACCAGGTCCTGAATGGTTGTTGGCACAGGTGCACCCCTCCCTCGTCCGCAGCAGCTGGTGGCTTGCTGACTCAGTGGCTACCTGTTGTGGCAGGCAAAGGACATCCATCCCAGGCAAGTTATCTGAGTAAAGTCAACCTTGCCACATTAAAATTTCTTTCAAGGCTTACCTCTTCAGGCTACGTCTAGGGAACGTCTCCAGTTTAACTAGTTGCCACCAGCCTCGGGTACCAGGATTTTGGTGAGCATCCGCGAGAGAGGGGAGGAGACCCGATGACGATTTCAGGCAGGTGAGTTCCAGACACAGATCCTGAGCACAAGACAGGGAGCTGCCTCTCGCAAGCTCCTTAACATCAACTTTGGCCTCAGATCCCACAGTCCCCGCTGCAGCCTAGGAGTTACAGAATGTCTCCACGACGCCTCTGATCAGGGTTTGATCCAGATTTTTAAATTTTAGAAATTTAATCTGAATTTATTCTAGGTAGGTATTTTTGGATGACAGTGTATAGCACGGTATTTTGTACTCAATAAATGTTGAATGAAGGGATACACGAATCAAGAAATGAGCTGATGCGCTGAATTCTGAGTTCCCTCATAGAAAGGTATCACCTGCCAGTCACCGCCACACACTCAGTTCCAGGTTTTCCAGCACTTCCCTCAGGAGCTGAGCCTGATAGATGTCGTATGAATATAAACTATCAGTGAATACATTACCTTTCAGAGTTTAATATGATTCCCTGGGTTTGCTAAATGTCAGAGGACCAACTTCTAAAAGGGAGTGTTGTGATTTTCAGCTTCTGCAGAGGATCGATGAAATCTAAAAGAGCAGCCCCTTAGTTACCCCTGATGAGAGTCCTTGGGGTCCGAGCCGTCTCTGAGCAGTCTTCCTGCCCCCACCATGCGACAAAAGGCTTCTCGTGAGGACTTCTGAGAGACTGAATCTGTCCTTGTTTCCTCTAAGCCCTCACCCCCATTTGTGAGTTAGAAGCCTGCTGCTGAGGCAGTGTGGGGCTGTGTACCACAGACTTCACAGCAGGAGCCCCCCCCAGGCTCGGCCCAGCTTTTGGAACCCTGACGAAGCCAGAGTATTAACATCAGGAAGCAAACGTTGCTGCTGTTGGATGGTGGGGCAACCAGAGCACGCCTGCACCGCTGCAGGTGGTACTACAATTTTATTTGAGTTAATCTTAAATGGCAGCAAGAAAAAAGGGTGTGACTCCAAAACAAGCAGCTAAATGTACAGTAGACCCAATTTTTCCTAGAGGTCCCAGATGCCTAACACTGAAAGAACACACAGGAAACTTATCCATTCTCAAGAAGCTCTAGTGGCAAAGGGTCTGAACTTTCCAACTTTCCATCTTCATCCACAATTACAAATACCCCAAGAACGTCCCTGTCACAATAGACACTTTCCTTCAACCTACGTGTGCTCCCACATGTGGGTGCAGCTCATGCAGACTCAGCCCATTACCAGCATAGGACCCTTTCCTGTAATGAAAACGTGGAGGAGGTAGCTCTGAATGCACACAAAGACTCACGTTACCTACCTTTATGTTTTTCCTGGTAAGAACTATGTAAGAAATTCAACCTCAGGGACACAGAGTAGGTATTATAAGAAATACGTTGTTCAGCATCAGGCCAAACCTGTCCTCCCCCAACCTAGGCCTGGCCAGAGTCACTTCTCTGCATCCGTGTACAACAGAAGTGAGAGAGGGAGGACAGAGAGTTGGCCTTCAGAAGGATGCAGTGTACACTTATTTCTCCCAGAGGAGTGACTCCAGGGTGTTTGGAAGTCAGGTCTTCCACCGGTCAGACTATGAGGGACCGACCCTGAAAGGCCCCTGGGATCTGCTGCTCCCCAGGGCATATCCAACCCTTCCTTCTCCTGGAGCTGCAAGTGCTGATCCAGAATTCTCTTTTAACCCCAGAGTGGTAAGGGAGGAAGGGAGAGAAATCACACTACCGTGGGAATGTCAACCTCCTTTGCCTGGAAGAACCTGATTGGGGACCCTCCTCTGAATCCCCTAAGCAATGAAGTCTGCCCCTCCTCCGTGGGAGGGCACCCCATGGTCACCACTTCAACCCTGGGGTGCCCTCCTGGCCAAGGCTACCCACTGGAGCAGGTGACAGGGCTGCACCTCCTGGAGCTTCCGAGGGAGTCTGGTTTGCCCCTAGCTCCTCTTGACTTGACCCCAAATGTGCATCCCTCCGCTCCTAGAGAAGGTCCCCAAAACTCTGCCCAGTGATCCACCACGCAGAAAGGCAGAAGCACTTTGACTTTAATAAAAACAGGCCAGTTCCCCACCCTATCTTTCTTCTCTGCCTGAGAAAAGCAGCCTTCTGGAGAGGACAAAAGTCAAGACCACCACAGGTTCTCTGTCCCCAGGGGACACAGGCTAGGAGAAGACAGGGAATTCCAACCCCCCACCACCACCACCCCCGAAGGTGGCCGGAGCACTTTCTTACCAAACTCACTGGCACAGAGATGTTCAATGATGGCTTCAGATTTCAACTCGTTGTCACACGGAGGACATACAGTTGTGCCTAGGAAGGAAACAGGGCAGAAACAGAAGTTATAAGTTAGGGGGGAAGACAATTCCTGGGGAAGAGGTCAGCCCTTGGACCAGGATGAAAGGAGTTAAAGGTCTTCTGGAATTTCTGCAGGGTGACCTGAGGATCTAAAAGAAGGGCCCCAGAGCCTAGGATCCAAAGCCATGCACAGGCCTACAGCTGTTGAATATGACACAACTGTTTAAACCAACACTAGCTGGAGCTAGGTGTGGGCAGGTCCCGTGAATGATGACTTGTGCGGTGTTGTAGGTCCCTGGAAAAAGCTGGCTTATAAGCAAAAAAGATCTATTCTGGTTGTTTGTTTCCTGTCCTGTCTCCCTCTCCTTTAGATACCTCCCTCGGATTCCTGCCTGCCCCTTTCCCCTTTCCAGTCTCCCAGCAAGATAGCAGATCAATCTGAACAGCTCTCCAGAAGCCAAGAGAAAAAGAAGCAGTCAGACTCACACACTGCAGCCCCAGGGCCCTGCACACCCCCTTCCAAAAGGGCTGCGGCAGGAAGGAGAGTAGCTGGGTGGGGTGGGGGAGGCACTAGCGCCAGCCGCCAAATGGGAGGACAACGGGGCTGGACGGGGCTGGACGGCACCCTTTGGAGGCTCTTTCACGAGCGACTGTGAAGTGCTTTGGGGGAGGGGGAGGCGTACATGCCACCAGGAGGCGGATAAGCCCCTGGGGAGGGAAACTTCTGAGGCAGGGCCAGAGGCCTCCTCCGAGCCAAAAAGCTGCTGAAGCAGGAGCGGTCTCAAGGAGGCAGTGGGCCTCCGGGGAAGGGCAGTGAGGAGGAGGAACGGTGGAATCCTCCAGACACTGAAGTGGCTTGTCATCGTCACCAACACTTATCAAACAACTTGGAGTGTATGGACGACCTAGGAAAGCATTAGCACATTCTAAGGGCATGCCACACCAGCACAGCCCAGGAGGCCAGCCAGGCTGGAGCTGCAGAGCATAGGAAAGTCACCCAAGACTGAAGCCAAGGGGACGGAAGGCCAGGCGGGGTTTGACGCATGAGCAGCCTGGAATATGACACAACTGTTTAAACCAACACTAGCTGGAGCTAGGTGTGGGCAGGTCCCGTGAATGATGACTTGTGCGGTGTTGTAGGTCCCTGGAAAAAGCTGGCTTATAAGCAAAAAAGATCTATTCTGGTTGTTTGTTTCCTGTCCTGTCTCCCTCTCCTTTAGATACCTCCCTCGGATTCCTGCCTGCCCCTTTCCCCTTTCCAGTCTCCCAGCAAGATAGCAGATCAATCTGAACAGCTCTCCAGAAGCCAAGAGAAAAAGAAGCAGTCAGACTCACACACTGCAGCCCCAGGGCCCTGCACACCCCCTTCCAAAAGGGCTGCGGCAGGAAGGAGAGTAGCTGGGTGGGGTGGGGGAGGCACTAGCGCCAGCCGCCAAATGGGAGGACAACGGGGCTGGACGGGGCTGGACGGCACCCTTTGGAGGCTCTTTCACGAGCGACTGTGAAGTGCTTTGGGGGAGGGGGAGGCGTACATGCCACCAGGAGGCGGATAAGCCCCTGGGGAGGGAAACTTCTGAGGCAGGGCCAGAGGCCTCCTTCGAGCCAAAAAGCTGCTGAAGCAGGAGCGGTCTCAAGGAGGCAGTGGGCCTCCGGGGAAGGGCAGTGAGGAGGAGGAACGGTGGAATCCTCCAGACACTGAAGTGGCTTGTCATCGTCACCAACACTTATCAAACAACTTGGAGTGTATGGACGACCTAGGAAAGCATTAGCACATTCTAAGGGCATGCCACACCAGCACAGCCCAGGAGGCCAGCCAGGCTGGAGCTGCAGAGCACAGGAAAGTCACCCAAGACTGAAGCCAAGGGGACGGAAGGCCAGGCGGGGTTTGACGCATGAGCAGCCTGTGCTCCTCCTCCGTCTCCTCCTTCCTTGCCCTCTCCAGAGCGGCTTCTGTGGCAGCACCTCCCTGCCCCTGGAGCCCCGTTGCAGCTCAGACAGTGAAATGGGCAAAATCTCAAAGGTGGAGGAGAAAGAGGGAGCTGCACAGCCCTCCCAGGTGACACAGGGGTCCACAGACCCCTCACCACTTCCAAGCAGCGTCCCCAGCAGAGACCACACCCCTGAGTCTTTACTGACAGATTCCTCTCCCACCAGTACTCTGCACCCTGGACCAGACACCCCCAGACTCCCGTCGGCAGGAAGCACACTCCAGGCAGAAGACGGCATGACTGGCCTTGGCCCAGATGCTGGAAACTTGCTTTGCATCCAGAACCTGAGGGTGGGTTCTGGAGATAGTGCTGCTGACAAAGGAAAAAAACTTCCCAGGAATTTTGCGCTATGGTTCTTGCTTCCATGAGGAGAAAAAAAGGGAAAGGCAATCCCGTGATATGGAAAGACCATGTTACCCACACCAGGGCAGTGAACTGGGCTTTGGGTCTTGACCAAACAAGTAGCAAGGCCAGGATGGTCAGAATATCACGGTGCGACCCCGTCCCCTTGGCACACTCACTGCCTCTCCTGTCACACGCAGAGCCCCCTAATCTGGTGGGGAGCCCAGGGCTCTGCCCCCCACAGGGCACATCCACAGTCCCACAGGGACTCGGGCTTCAGTGCCTCTCAGGATGGGGTGGACGCTGTGTGTTTTCGAAACAGCTTTGGCTGTCCTCACAGCTGACTCTGGAGCAGCGTGGGCCAGAAACAGGAGGAATGCACACTGCAATATAATCTGTGCCTCCTCGGCACCCCTGGGGCCCTGCAGGCCACCTCGACAGGACAAGCCCCGCGGTCAGCCACCTGAGAGACTGAACTAAATCACTGTGCTGAGGTGTATTCAAAATAATGTTTAAAGCAAATGAACAAAAAACTAAAAGGTTTTGTGCTTTATTAATGCTTATGGGGGGCAGAGGAGAAAGCCCAACCCTGGAACCAGGACTGAGTAAATTTTTAAAGATCAACATATGCACTTGCACACATGCACACACGCACACACAGGCCACCCTCCACCTCCACGCTTAGCTGAGCAGACAGTGGCCTGCCTGGCAACCTCGAAGGAAGCAGAGCGAGGTCCCCTCCCTCATGGGACCCGGGGACCCCTCCCTCATGGGGCCCGGGGACTCCCGAGGACCCCGGGACTGCGGTCCTGAGTAGGAACACGTGCCTCCTCCCAGGGCCAAGCCTCTCTTCACTGAGGGGAGAGCCAGTCTCAAGTCCCACTCCCGAGGGGTCCTCTCACAGCTCTGTCTCTGGTCTTGGGAGGGTGGCCACCTGAGCACTCCTGGGGCAGAAAGCAGGACAGAGAGAGAGTGCAAACAAGCATAGCAGCAGCAAGGGGCAAGGCAGCCAGGGCACGGCGAGTGTGGGTCCCCACCCTACCACAGCCTTCTGGGGGTCCTAAGCACGCAGCCCGACAGTCCCCTCTTCCCTCGGACTTCAGCCACTTTCCCCACAGCTGTTCCCAAAAGGAACAGTTCCACTGCATGTCTGCACACAGTCCCTGAAAGAGACAGCAGTGGCCACGGGGAATGGACTCCAGCTCGGTCGGGCCAAGCAGAGCTGGCCAAGCCTCTGGGGCAGGAGGAAGGGGAGAAGGGAGGTCCTGCAGGCCACAGGGATGGCGCCACAGCAGCAGGACGCCCAACGCTTTGTCTGCTCTGTGTCCTGCTCAGCAGTCCCCTCCATGCGCTGCGGTGCCTGCCTGAAGGTTAGCCCCGAGAGCAGAGGCGCCCGGCCCTGCCACTGCAGGCCCAGCCCGGCCATCCAACGTCGGGCACTTTACAGCCTGCCTTCCTTCCCTCAGTAATCAAGAATATTCAAAATTCGGGGTGTTCCTTTCCCACCCCCACCCCGTCCTCACTCTGGGGGTGCTGGGCGTCTGCACACCCCTCTTTCAGCATCCACAGCAGTGGTTAAAGACACCGCACACTTCCGATGAGCTGAGTATGCAGCCACCTCCTGCCCAACCCCTCCTCAAAAGGCCCTCGGGATGTCACCCTGTGTTAGCGCACCCACACCCGGGGCTTGGTCACTATCCGCATATTTGAGAGCCCAAACTTTGCTCCTGAAGAATTCAGGGTTGGATTCACTCCTATCAAAGGCCACCGGGCTGGAGTGGTTTTGTTTTCGTTTTTCTCCTTCCCGGGATTTTTTTCCTTCCCACTGAAGAACTGCCTGTTGAACAGGAGGGGGTTCTGACAGGGACCCCAGGCGGGTGGCCAGGCTGGTGGGAAGGACTCTAATTTGCAGAGGCCCACTCGCCACCGAGGAGATGAACACGNCCTTACCTTGGGGCTTGGAGGCTTCGGTGGCGTTGGGCGGGGTCATGGCGATGCAGACGTCCCCCTCGGGGAACTTGTCGCACTTGAGCATCTCGGGCCAGTAGAAGCCGAAGAACTGCATGACGGGCTCGCACGAGTCGCGCACGGCCTCGCAGAGCCAGCGGCACGGGTAGATGGGCCGGTCGAGGCAGACGGGCGCGAAGAGCGAGCAGAGGAAGACCTGCGTGCCCATGTGGCAGTTCTTGTTGAGCAGGGGCACCCAGCTGCTGGCCTGCTGCTTCACCTCGGCCATGCTCTCGTGCTCCAGCAGGTTGGGCAGCACCATGCGCTTGTAGCCCACGTCGTGGCACAGCCGCAGGTCGGCCGGGATGTCCACGCACTGCGGCGGCTTGGCGTAGAAGCGGCCGCTCTGGTAGGCGCCCACGTCCGACTGGAAGCTCANCGGGCCAAGCAGAGCTGGCCAAGCCTCTGGGGCAGGAGGAAGGGGAGAAGGGAGGTCCTGCGGGCCACAGGGACGGCGCCACAGCAGCAGGACGCCCAACGCTTTGTCTGCTCTGTGTCCTGCTCAGCAGTCCCCTCCATGCGCTGCGGTGCCTGCCCGAAGGTTAGCCCCGAGGGCAGAGGCGCCCGGCCCTGCCACTGCAGGCCCAGCCCGGCCATCCAACGTCGGGCACTTTACAGCCTGCCTTCCTTCCCTCAGATAATCAAGAATATTCAAAATTCGGGGTGTTCCTTTCCCATCCCCACCCCGTCCTCACTCTGGGGGTGCTGGGCGTCTGCACACCCCTCTTTCAGCATCCACAGCAGTGGTTAAAGACACCGCACACTTCCGATGAGCTGAGTATGCAGCCACCTCCTGCCCAACCCCTCCTCAAAAGGCCCTCGGGATGTCACCCTGTGTTAGCGCACCCACACCCGGGGCTTGGTCACTATCCGCATATTTGAGAGCCCAAACTTTGCTCCCGAAGAATTCAGGGTTGGATTCACTCCTATCAAAGGCGACCGGGCTGGAGTGGTTTTGTTTTCGTTTTTCTCCTTCCCGGGATTTTTTTCCTTCCCACTGAAGAACTGCCTGTTGAGCAGGAGGGGGTTCTGACAGGGACCCCAGGCGGGTGGGCAGGCTGGTGGGAAGGACTCTAATTTGCAGAGGCCCACTCGCCACCGAGGAGATGAACACGAGCTAATTCCGTTGTTATCTGTCTAATTACCTGCGGATCTGTGCAAATGAGAGACGCAGGGGGGTAGGAACAAGTCTGCAGCCCGAGAGCCCAGCGTCTATGGACTTCTCTTCCCGGCCGCGGGCAGCAGCCCTGGAGTGTGAGGAAAGAGTGTGACAATCCTCCTGGAGCCCACGAAAGTGAACAGGAGCTGCGCTCAGCGTCCCGTCGGCCCTCCCCGCGCTCTCTGCGCTTCGGGTCCTGCTGTTCTTGCCACTGGAGCACCCCGTCCCCGCCTCGGATGTCAAGAGACCTCGGANACAGGCGCGCGAGCGACACCGAAGTCCGCCGCCCTGCGCGCTGTGCTACCCGCCTCGGGTTTGTTCTCCGAGCTACAGCACAAAGACAGGCCGTTTCCCGGCGACCGGAGGGCAGGGAGGCCGAGGCAGGAAGGGCTGCTCCGTAATCCCTGGAGAAATGCGAGGGCGAGCCGCAGGGAGGGGGGCGTGTGCGTATGCAAAACGCGGCACCTTTCCAGGTGGGGCCCCGGAGGGTGGCCCTCAGCGACGTAGGCGGCTGTAGGTGAACGCACTCTGGCGGGAAATATTGCTCACAAAGATGTTACCTTTGGGAGGACAGCTTAAAAAAATTTTTTTTTAATAAAATAAAAACCCCTATCAAACCCCAGCCCAGCCGACGGCACGTCTGTCTGTGTGTGCACGCATATACACGTTGACATGTTTGTGGTGTCGAAAGGCACAACATTATCAACACACGTGCACTTATCAGAGTGGCCTGTGTAAATACCAAGTCTGTCACTCAGGCACACATGCTGCGTTCAGACCCGGTGCAGCGACCTCACGTCAAAACCAAGGGCTCCCATTAAGGCAGAAGCCAAGAGGCCGGTATCAGCAGAAACAGAGCTACAACTGTGTCTCCAGCCCCTAGGAACAGAAGTCACCCTGCCGCCCCCTACCTCGGAGTTCCTGGGAATACTCTGTATGTTTCCAACATTCCCCTGAGAGGGAGGGTCAAGCTCCAGAGAGCTGGATCCCAGGGTGGGGAGAAAAGAGCGAGCAGTTCCGAAGGTCACCGGGTCTCCAGTGCCTGTGTGCTGAAGTGTGGATGAGTGAGGCCCAGGATGCTAAAAACCCTATCTGAGCGGTGTGGTGCCACCCCGTGTGGCAAATGGACCACAGATCTCAGCGCTCAGGGCAGACACCACTGGAGGTGCTGCCTTGCCGCGCCGGCGTGTTTGTAAAGCTCTGGGGAAGCTTGCTTTGGACTCTGCAGACCTAATTTCTCCATGGCCAGATTCCAAGGAAAACGACTAGAGTTTGCGAAGAAGCAGGCCTGTTTTCTTAAAGCAATGGTGCCCATACGGAGGTTGTGATCCCACTGTGCACACAGGAAGCATCTGCAGGGCAACTCCTCTGTCACCTCCAGGTCCATAAAAGGTGCCCCCAAACCAGAGGGGTAGAATGCAGGAAAGAGATAAAGACGACAGAGCAAGACTTTGGATGGCCGAGGGTTAATTCCTAAACAATTGGTAAGTCTCAGCCTGAGAGGCTGGGGAAGACATTCTTCACACAGAATAGGCTGCAGGAGACCAGGCAACTGTGTCTCAATTCAAGGGGTATTTAGAGAAAAATGCTGTTTGGTAGGGGGTCCTTTTCTCCCCTCAGGCCAGGCCCTCACTTCCAAGCCAAATGTGTGTGTTTACTCACTCATTGGAAAGATTGGCATTTGGAGATAACATCCTCTCACCTCAGAATCCAGGCTTTGCTGACCCCTCACCCATATTTACACAGTTTTTCCAAATGGCAGAGGACTTGGGTCTGTCCACCATTGCTGGAAATTAGTCCAGGTGACTGCACCTCCAACAGTTCTGGGAGTCTCAGTCAGGAGTAAATCTCACAAATCCATTCATGGCAGGACCTAGCCTATGTCTGTCTCTCCAAAGTGACTTTGGTCACCCCCAATCCCTAACTCCCCCCATCCCCAATAGTCTTGCTGCTTTAGAGATTAGCCACAGGGAGTGTCAGTATAAATAAGACAGCAGAATCCTAAATCCACTACATTTGTGGCTCCTCCCAATACCCAGCTGGAAAGGAAGGACTCTAGGTCTCAGTCCCACTGGGGGACTTTCATCCACACTTGGGACTTTGGAAAATGACTGCTGCCGGTCAGTTCACATGCTGTAGAACAGCACCATGCAGAACAGTCTGAAGACTTTCTATTTTAGAGATGCATATAGAATTTTTGTCCTTTTTCATACCGTCAAACCTTCACACTTTAAAACCCAGTCTCTCTTTCCTGTAATGGCAAGAATGTGTGTGCGTGTACAGGAGAAAGTTCTTGAACACAGACTCTTTAAACATGCTATTGGCATGACAGAGTTCCCGGAAACCAGGGTTCCTGAGCAGAACTGTGCGGCAGGAGGCCCATCCCCCCTCCTTCTCGAATGGCTGAAATGAACAGGGGCAAACTACAGCTTTAATCTTATGTGTCTCCTTTCAGCAAAGTTCTGACTTGTTCACACTGCCCATACCTGACAACTGGGAGTGCACTCATTGTTGCTTTACCACACCAGCTTGAGGAGGCATGTTTCTGTCTCCCCAATGCTCAAAGCTGACTGTCAGGCCAAGCAGGGTCACCAGGGGCCTCCCATATGCCCACCTGTGGCCTCTTGCCACACTCAGAGCTCCTTCCTGCTCCCTCCTAGAAAAACTGGGTGGGGAGGAGCCTTCCCAGCCCATGGTTCCTATTCTGTTTCATTGTATCATCAGCGATTTTCAAGACAGCCTCCAAAGATACACTTGGCATCATCTTCTCCACCAGCCTGGAGCACTGCAGCAGGGCAGGAGCCACGCAGAGAAAAGCATTCCCGCTCAGAGTCAGGAAGCCCGACGCAGGGCCTCGGCTCTGCTTCTGACCGGCCGGGTGACACGCAGGAAGCACACGCTGTCCCCTGGCCTCGGTGTTCTCCTCCGTAAAGCACAGCTTTAATGCTTGTCCTGCAACCTCGTGAGATGCAGGACGTGAATGCTGCACACCTAGTGCTGTGTGAGGAACATAGTTAGGCTTTCAGTCGTCTGAATGGTTCAAAGTGGGATTCGATGCAAGACGTCGTGATTCACGGTCGTATTCTTACCTGGCAAGCTGCTTCTGCATTCTGCCTCTGCGGATGTGTACCCCGATCCCCTCCGATTCTTTCAAGAACTGGCCTCGCCTGCTGTCTAGGCTTTGAGGATGTCTGGGAAGTATCTTAAAAAATTTGGAGTTGAAGGCAAATTCCAGCCCCCTCCCATTCCCAGTGTAAGCATCCCTGCACACCACGCTCAATGGGGGCTACCTGGGCATCCCAGCTGCCACAGCTGGACCCTCTCACTTCTTTGGGTCACAGCAGTGTGTTCAAGCTATCCACTAGAATGTTCTTCCATGCCTAAAGGGAAACTCTGCTCCCTGTAATTTCTGCTCACGAGGCCATCCGAGCATCACTTCCTGCCCTGATCAACCAGTAGTGACCTCGGGAAAACAGCCCTGAACAGTGCTGCTGTGGCCACAGTGCCTGCCACTCCACACAGATGTACACGCCTACCCACACTCCAGACGAGGCTTTGTCAAACTGGCTTGACAATTTTTATTCATTTCTGAATATATGAGGGGACTTCAAATAGTTCATGGAAAAATGGAATTAAAAGATAAAAATGAAAAATAGAAACTTTATTTCTCAACATAAGTTCAATCAAATTCAAGACACTTTTGTAAGCAGTGATACCAGCCATTAGTCCATCCGTAAAGAACTGAGGTCCTGGGAATTAACTACATCAGTGCAGTCTTTTTTACATTATTAACTGAAGGAAGAAGCGTGTCCTTTAAAGATTTTTTAAGATTGGAAAACAAAAAGAAGTCAGAAGGAGCCAAATCAGGACAGTAAGGTGGATGCCTAATGAGTTACCACCAAAATTCTCGCAAGATCACCCTCGTTTGATGAGAGGAACGTGCAGGGGCATTGCTGTGGTGGAGGGGGGCTCTCTGGTGAAGCCTTCTTGGGACTTTTTTCTTTCCTTTTCCTTTTTTTTTTTTTTTTGCTAAAGCTTGGCTAGCTTTCTCAAAACACTCTCATCATAAACAGGAGTTATTATTCTTTGGCCCTCTGGAAAGTCAACAAGCGATCTGCCTTAGAATCCCAAAAACCTGTTGCTGACCTTTTTTCTTGACTGGCTGCTTTTGCTTTGGCTGGGCCACTTCCACCTCTTGGTAGCTGTGGCTTTGGTTGTGCTTTGTCTGCAAGATTGTACTGGTAAAGCCAGGCTTCATCTCCTGTCAAAATTCTCTGAGGAAAGGCTTCAGGATCTGGATGCCACTTGTTTAAAATTTCCATTGAAACCTCTGCTCTGTCTGCAGCTGGTCTGGGTGCAGCAGTGTTGGCACCCACAGAGCAGAAAGTTTGCTCAACTGTCATTTTTCAGCCAGAACTGTGCCAGCTGATCCAGTGAGATGTCTGTGGTGTTGACATTGCTTCTGCTGTTAATCGTCGGTCCTCTTAGTTAGAGCACAAACAAGATTAACTTTTTTCCTCACAAATTGATGTGGATGGCCTGTCGCTGCAGGCTTCATCTTCAACATTATCTCGCCCCTTCTTAACATGAGCTGTCCATTTGTAAACTGCTGATTCTTTGGGGCCTTGTCCTCATACACTTTTTGTAGAGCACCTGTGATTTCCCCATCCTTCCACCCAAGCTTCACTATCAATTTGATGTTTGTTCTTGCTTCAATTTTAGCACAATTCATGTTGCTCTAGTAGGAGCTCTTTTCAAACTGAGTCTTACCCTTCTCAGTGCCTCAAACTAGATCCTGTTCAGATATGTTACAAGTTAGTATGAGTTTATTTTGATGCAAAAAAAATTTTTTTAATCCATGCATAGCTTTTTCTTTTCTTTTCTTTTTTTTTTGTCTTTTTTTGTGTCCGGCAACGGATCGCAACCCTCAGTGTCGCGCCCGTACCGGACCGGGACCGGCAACGGGATCGCAACCCTCGGTGCCGCGCCCACACCTCGCTCAGCCAGTGAGTGGGAACCAGTCTGTATGTGGGATCTGAACCCTGGGCGGGAGCGCCGCCGTGCTCCCAAGCGGCGCACTGTAGCAGTGCGCCACCGGGCCAGCCCATGCATAGCTTTTTCATAATGCACTTTTTCCATGAACTTTTTAAAGC